AGTGTCGAGAGGTGAGAATGTCAGATTTGGGTAGGTGGAGTGTGAGCTAGCTCTTAGACACACTAGAGATGCAAAGTAGGCAACTTGAGTGTATTAATATTTCTTGACCTTTTCTTCATTAAGCAACTGATAAACTTTTTTTTTTTTTAATATTTTTTATTTATTTCTGAGAGAGAGAGAGAGAAAGAGAAACAGCGTGAACAGGGGAGGGTCAGAGAGAGAGGGAGACACAGAATCAGAAGCAGGCTCCAGGCTCTGAGCTGGCAGTCAGCACAGAGCCCGACGCGGGGCTCGAACCCACAAACCATGTGATCATGACCTGAGCCAAAGTCGGATGCCCAACCGACTGAGCCACCCAGGCGTCCCTAAATTAAAAGCTTTAAAATTATTTTTTAAAATACATAAAATTTACCACCTTAACCATTGTTAAGTATACAGTTCCTTGGCATTAAGTACAACGACACTGTTGTGATACCATGGCCACCATCCATCCACAAAACTCTTCATCTTATAAAACTGAAACACTGTACTCACTAAACAGTAATGTTCCGGGGCACCTGAGTGGCTTAGTAGGTTAAGCATCTGACTTCGACTCAAGTCATGATTTCTCAGTTTGTAAGTTTGAGACCTCCATCAGGCTCTGTGCTGACAGCTCAGAGCCTGGAGCCCGTTTCCGATTCTGTGTCTCCCTCTCTCTCTCTCTCTCTGCCCCTCCCCTGCTTGCACTCTGTCTCTCTCTGCCTCTCAAAAATAAATATTTTTTAGAAATTTAAATAGTAACTTTACATTCTCCCATCTCCTCAACCCCCAACAACCACCATGCTATTTTCTGTCTGATTTTGATTATGTAGCTCAGGTAAGTGGAACCATACACTATTTGTGGTTTTTAACTGATTTATTTCACTTAGCATAATGACTTCAGGGTCACCCAATTTGTAGCATGTATCAGGATTTCCTTACTTTTGGAGGATGGATAATACTTCATTGCATGTATGTGCCACATTTTATTTGTTCATCTATCGATGGGTTGCTTCCGTGCTTTAGCTATTTGAATAATGCTGCTGTGAGCATAGGTGTGGAAACATAAAGGATATGTTTTTGAAAATGTATTTGGTGACTTTCATAGATTTTCTCTTTTATGTAAATTTATAAGCACATTTTCATAATAAAAGGTTTAAATGATACAGTTGTACAGACAACAAAACATGAAAGTTCCTATTCATCCTCTCTTCGTACTCCCAGTTCCCAAAGTTCAGTTTGCCGTGTTATTGACATCCCTCTCTAATGTATTTATGCACATTTGTATTATCTTTTTTTTTAATTTTATTTCTTTTTGGGGCACCTGGATGGCTCAGTTGGTTAAGCTTCTGACTCAGCTCAGGTCATGATCTCACAGTTCATGAGTTCAAGGCCCTCATCAGGCTCTGCATGGATGGTGTGGAGCCTGCTTGGGATTCTCTCACTCTCTCTTTCCCCATCTCTCTGCCCCTTCCCCACTTGTGCTCTCTCTCTCAATAAATAAATTAAATTTTATTTTGTTGAGGGAGAGAGAGGGAGGGAGGGAGAGAGAATGAGTAGGGATGGGGCAGAGAGGCAGGGAGAGAGAAAATCCCAAGCAGGCTCTGTGCTGTCAGTGCAGAGCCCAGTGTGGGGCTCAACCTCACGAACTTGTGAGATCATGACCTGAACTGAAACTGAGAGTCAGACACTTAACTGACTGAGCCACCGAGGTGCCCCTCTATCTTTTTTCAATGGGGATCCTACTATACATACTTTTCTATATTATTTGTCTTTTATTTAATAATAAATAATAATTGGACATCTTCCCAATCTTATTTTTCTTTTTCGGTTTTTAACAACTGTGCATATGTTCCATAATGTTGCATTGACTGTTCATGTACATATACTTTTATACATTCAGGACTATTTCTATACATTAAATTCCTAGAAGTAGAATTCCTAGGCATGAGGAAATTTCTTAAACTGTTGATCATATTTTCTTTTCTAAGCTCCTTTGTGGTTTTCTTATCATTTTTCTGGATAGAATCAGGCCTGAAGAACTCAGAGAACCGAGTGGACTTTGCTTTGGAATGGATGGCCAAAGAGTAAAATGTGAAAGAGCCATTTAAGGATGATTTGGCAAAATAAAACAGCTCAACACAAAGTTTTGCAAGTAGGAGACAAAGTCACTCTAACTAGTCAGAGGGATTATCTGTCACTCACAAGTGTGATACAAAAGAAGACAGATAAATCAAAGTTAAGCCATAATGGCAACCTCTCCAGTTGGAACAGAGAGAGCCTTATGCAGTCAAAGATGAGGTGGATTAATTGAGATGGTCTGAGGCCTTTTGCAGTTAGCATATGTCTAGACATTCCTTATGGGAGATATGACCCAGCAAGCGTAAATTAGTAACCCAAAGACAGAGGAGTGCAAAATGGGTAGGGCCAGTGGCTGAAACTGGATTACCAATCCTCAGGAGGAGACATTATTAAAATAGGACACTTTCCTCACGCTAACATAATGTAAACTAGTTGTATCTGTGCCCAAGATTAACTATTTAGTCACTCTTTTTGGTAAGTTGGAATCTAAAAGTTAATATAAAATTTCTTGAATGGGTAGACCATCTGGTTACAATTTTGGTTTCAGTTCCCTGTTACGCATTTGGCACCCAAATAAGAACTGTCTCCAAACGTGAGTAGGCTGAGTCCGTCATAAACACTCAAGTCTTCTTTTGTTTTGTGATTCTGAAATGTCAGAAGATGAACAGTTTAATGAAATGGTCGTTTTTTTTTATGGCACATTTTCTTTACCGTGATGTATCTGGCTTAGAGTATTAGTCAGCAAAATTTTACTATAAGGGGCCAGACTGTAAATATTTTTGGCTTTCCAGCCACAGTCTCTGTTGCCTATTTGTCATTGCCTTTCCACCCCCCTCCCAACCCTTTAAAAATGTGTTTTCTGCCTTTTTCACCATATTTTCATACTTTGTGATAGTGGCTGAAGTTTGCAGACTATATTAAACAATGATCTAAAATCAAGTTTCTGGCTGTAGATTTTTTGCCACCGACAAAAAAAATGTTATAAACATGACTTTAATGGATTTATAAGAAAATGGAATATGTAGCTGATCTCTTACTGCAGGCGTTTTGGCACATTCATGGAAGATCTCTCATAAATACGACACTTGCATGAAACACATCATGCCCTGAAAGTTTGCTGTCCAGAAATAAAGTGCCTAGTTTTTAATTTCAAGTTACTATTTATTCAAGACATTTTTTGGTTTCTAAATAGGCTAATTATTAAAGTAGCATCACCTTTTAATATGTAACGGTATTGATCTATTTTTCAAAGATTCAGTATAATCTATTTTCTCATGTAACCAATTAACTGCCTCCCTTTTATAGTTTTGTTGCTATAAATCATTCTTTCAGTGCCTTATTTTATGAACGCATTACAGTTTCTGCCTCTGATTTGGAGCTAAGCTCTGGCTTTTCACTGTTTATGTCCCCAGGCCACATTTCCAGACCCCAGAAGGTGGCCTTTAGGACCACGAAGCCCTCCTTGAGATCACTGTGGAACCAACATCTGAATGCTCCTAAAAGACTTAGTGGTTGGATGTCATGCGACAGATTTTAGGGACAGACTTTGCCTACTTCACACAGTTTTTCTAAAAAAGTAGATAGGCTCACACATTTAAAGATTCAACCTTTTATTTCTTCTGTTTATACTTGCAGTAATATACTGTCAAACAATCTATAAATCTTGCATTCAAAGCCTTCTGTTTGGCTAAAAAATGTTTAATCCAGCTGGCAGCTCCTTTTAGCAGAAGGGTGTCTGATGAAAACCCACTGAATGTGTTTCAGCACTGGGTCTCTAAAACTTCTTGACAATACTTGAAACTGTTAATATCTTCTAAAAATTGCTTTACCAAGAGAAATTTCAAAGAGAACTCAGAAAATAAAGCAGTAGTATGTGCAGATTTTAATTAATACTCTTTAATAATTGAAATAAAAGAGAATTTTTTTACTCAATAAAATGTTGATTGGGTTTTATTAGCTTTTCTTGTTTTGAATAGTTAAAGCTTTTTATCTCTCCTAGTTCTCTTTTTAGTTATTTGGATTCTGTAAAAATGAAACTCTGTTTTTAAACCAATGATAATTTCTTAAATGGATCATGATCTCCCTGGTAGAAATTGTATTTTCTCCTAATCAAGGTCCAGTCTATTGTTAATATCACTATGTCAACGAGAAGAAAGGGAAGTTTGAGTAGTATAAAGAGAAAACACTGGCACATGATTTCTTAAAAAGTCTCTGAAACTCAACAATTAACTTCTTAAATTAGGACTCAAACAAAAAAATTGATCTGTTTTCCTATATCTAGGTATCAGGATGTATTTCAGTATCTTGACATTTTAGAATTTTGAGCTATAAATATGACAGTATAATCTGTAGTATCCTTTTTTTTTTTTAAACATGGGTATTAGCTTATCAATGTAGATCTGGAGTCTGATAAACTAGTGAGTGAAAGGAGGGTGTGTGTATTTGTTCTTTATTCTTACAGAGTCTTGAGGTCAGCTGTCATGTTGGTGCTTTCCTGCTTTGTTCTTTTGAGTCACTCAATGACTGGTGACTGGCTGCTGGAAAGGAAAGCTTTCAGCAGATTAATGCTGGGGCCCTCCTGTCTTCTCCTTCGGCAGTAGCAGCTGCATTCTGCCCTTTCTGTGGCCCTGAAAGGAGGGAGGGAGACAGGGAGTGTGTGGGGGGAGGGGAGAAGGGGACAGGGGCTCTGTCAGCACACATTTCGAGGTTTCTCAACACGTGGAATGAGATCTTTCCCAAGAAATTCTGTCAAGGCCAGTACACATGGGAAAAATATTTCTCTGCTTGGGCTTGTAACTGTGATTGTTTTTGTTTTACGGGATAAAAAGGAATTTAGGTCATGTGGCACAGCTGTGCTCTACCTCTGTATTTACCTGTCCTTTCTTTTTCATCTCTCCCAGGCAGCAGTACCTGTCCAAAGATCCCTCTAGTTCCACCTTGTGTGAAAAGCAGCACAACCCCACTGGTTGATCAGAATGTATCTGATGAAGAGGCTCAGGGAATAAATGGAAAAACGCCAGCGAAACACTCAGCTGCAAGTCCAAAGCCACAAGGTATGCTGGTGGGTTCTTTTTTTTTTAAATCAAGTTGGGTGTTTTGTTCATTGGTGAAATCTATCCAGAAGAATGATAATGACTAAGAAAGAATTGGAAGCTTTCAATGAGAGGAATTGGGTGCATTTATTTTTTTTCCGGGGAATAAAATCAGTCTCAGGCAGAGTTGGGTATTTGTTCTGCCCCTAAAATACCTTATACATTTTTCTGTTAAGGTTCTTTTCTCATTGCTGGAATTTACATGTCCCTTTAAGGGGACTGTGATCACTTCATGTAATATGCTTGACCTACTACATGGCCTAACTTAATATTTGCATAATAAATGTGTGACAAATGAATGCATACTGTCAGAAAGTCAGTATGCCTTGCTGGATTTCAGGGGATCTGTGAAACAGATCATTGTAAAGCCGTGCCTAACATACTTAGTAAAAATGTGATTTTCTACTATTCAGGACCTGGGGCTCAAAAAGGCTTCCCAGAAATTGAAATCAGTGGCTCCTCCATTCAGGAATTGAGCAGCCAGCAAGGGGAAGAAACAATTATAATGCTGGAAATCTTTGAATGTTTTGTTCAGGAACCATTTCCTCTTAGCAATGAATCTCTAGTGAGCCAGGTATTAACTGTGAGAAGCACAAAATTGCAATTTTGATGATACACGGTAAGGCCTTTGGAAACGTTAACACAAAATTAAATTCTACTAGGATTTAAGGTGTAGTTTCTTTCTAATAGATTTTTATTTATACCAAATGCTGAGCATTTAGCCAAGAAACAATGTTGTGCATTTTCAGAATTACTATAGTTTGGAAAAAGTAAATTTCTGTTTGATTTATGTTGTATTTATTTTGGTCTCTTTCCTGTTCTTGTGAAGAAAAAAGTATTATAGAGAATATATCATAGAAGACTTACTGTTACTCTTTAAAGTTCTTACATTTTTAGGATTTCTGAAAGAGATCTTTAACAGGGGCTTAAAATAGAATCTTCCAGATTATGGGACATTTTCCTTTTTGTTCTCACTGCTAGCTATATTTGTAGTGGTATCAAGTATGACTGTCGAGTAAGGTCAGATAATTAGTGCTTCAGATGAATGGCCCATTCATGAATTTATAGCCTTTTATTTTGGGCATATTCATCTCTATGTAATTCATATCAATATGAACATAGACACTTTTTTTTATCATAATTTAAGCTGTTTTGTTTACAAAGTACAAAGTTCTAGCTCACTCATTAGACTTGAGCTGACAAAGATAACATGAGGTAAGAATATTTAAAAAATGAATGTAATTCAGTTTTATGTAATTGCCCAGATCACAAACAGGAATTTCATATTTTATAAATCCTTTTTTGGAAAGATGCATTACTTCATTGTTTTTCATAGTTCATTGAGATAAATTACACCAGTGTCCTTCCTGAGATGCTCTGTGCCAAGATAATCATATTCTTTAGGGAGACAACACTTGACCTTGCTTTTGCTATTTGTAGTTTGATGAAAGTTTAATAAAAGTCAATATACTGATATTTAAATACATATTTACTTCCTGTTTTGAAGATGGGTTAATAAATATAATTTTACATAACGATAGGAACTATTTTCAGATATTAAACATATGACTTTACAGAACATTGTACTTTTTAAAAGCACTCTCTCACTCATTCTTTGGCCCTTCCCTAATTCCCCAGCTAAAATTTTAACCCCTCCCTCACCCTTGATATTTCATGTTCCCTCAAACCTATGTTATGGTTTCTCATTCACTACAGTCTGACCTACTATATATTTCACTTGTCCATCTTAGTTGTCTTCTGCCTTTGTATTGCCAGGCCCCCCAATAGCAGAGCAGGCCTTCAGCAGCACTTGAATTGGCTCCCTGCTACATTACCACGTTTCCTCTATTTTGTTTCTGCTGTTCCTTGTTTAAAACTTGGAAGAATGTGTGCCATATAGAGAAAAACAATCGGGAAAGAAGGCTACCTCTTGGTATTGTCAGTTCCGCTGCCAAAGAGATTGGTGACTACATATTGACCAAATCAGAGTGTTCTCCACCCTCTAGTGGAGAGAAGCTTACTTTTAGTTTCTCCACTCTTAAGAATATTTAAATAACTGAAGGGGAGAAAGGAAAGGGATATTATGGGGGCTTGCTGCACACATCAAGAGATTATCACACTGATATCTATTCGCACTTAATTGCAAATCATGAGTGGTGAGTCTACTGAATCTTCAAGATCCATTATGTAATTTTAATTTAATTTAAGATTCTTTATTTTTTGAGAGAGAATGCATGCATGAGCAGGGAGAGGGGCAGAGGGAGAGAGAATCTTAAGCAGCAGGGCTCAGTCTCAGGACCGATCTCAGGACCGTGAAATCATGACCTGAGCCAAAATCAAGAGTTGACACTCAACTGACTGAGCCAGCCAGGGTCCCTAAAGATGCTTATTTTAGATAAGTATTCTCAACTGGAGACTATTTTGCAGACCCACTCCACAGCCCAGCCCACCCCATCCCACCCCACTCCACTGCCCATACTTGGTATTGTCTGGAGACTTTTTCACTCGATACAATTTGTTGGGAGTTTCTAATGGCAGCTAGTGGGCAGAGGCTAGGGATGTTGTTCAGCGTCTTACAATGCACAGACCAGCCCCCTCAAAACAAAGAATTATCAGATCTAAAATGTCAGTAGTTTGAGAAACTCTGATCTGGATCCTCAAAAGAGCTCATAAATAAATGTGTTTGTTTTTTTTTTTTCTCATGTGGAGTGCTAATAATATCATAGCTACAATTTGTTTTATTTTTTTCTATTTTATTTTATTTTTTTAATGTTTGTTTATTTTTGAGACAGAGATAGAGCTTGAGGCAAGGAGGGGCAGAGTGAGAGGGAGGCTCCGACTCTGAAGCAGGCACCAGGTTCTGAGCTGTCAGCACAGAGCCTGATGCGGGGCTCGAACCCACGAACCGTGAGATCATGACCTGAGCTGAAGTCAGACATTTAACTGACTGAGGCACTCAGGTGCCCCATCTAAAATTTATTTCAGTGATATTTAAAAGGAAGCACAATACTGAATGCCTTTATTCATGGTGATTATATACTAATGTGCCTGAAACAGTATCAGATTTATATTTTTGTGTTTATTAATAAGTCAGTCATGGGGGTGTAGTGTACAGCTTGGTGACTATAGTTAATAATACTGGATTGTATATTTGAAAATTAGTAAGAAGAGATCTTAAAAATTCTCATCCCATGAAAAAAATGTAACTGTGAGGTGATGGATGTTAATTAGACTTTGTTGATCATTTAGCAGTATATACAAGTATAGGATCATTTTATGCACCTGAAATTAATATACCTTTGTATGTCATTATATCCATTAAAAACTACCAATAAGTATTTTTGAAGAATTATAATTTTTAAAACAATAAAAGAGCTAAATTTTAGATAAGCTTGCATTTGAATGTAGTAAGAGCCTGTAGCTTTAGAAATGGATTCCTTCAATAGCTAGAGCTTATTTTGCCTCAGCCTCAGAAATACCCTAAGGCCTTGGAAAACAATGGTTTATTCACTTCATACCAATCCTACCAGTCAAACAAATAAATTACTGAGCAACTTCCAACATAAGTCTATTCTTCTTCACCACTTTTACTACTGACCTATTTCCTGCCATGCTAGACGTAACTCAAAATAACTTCCTTAGTAATTAAAGCTAATAGCTCTTTTTCACTTAGAAGCTTTGATCCACAACATTCTCCATAGTTAATTATTTTGATAGAGCCCACATATTATCACTTATCAGTCATTAAACATTAATGCTTAAAAAGTTTCATGAACTTTGAAAGCCACATTATTGCCCGAATAATTTAAGTAAATGTAAAGTACTCAAACCTATTCCATTTGCTCTTAAAGTAAAGCATTCTATGTGTAATGTCCCATTCTTAAAGTATAATATGTTATAAATATATAATACATTAAAAATAGCCAGCTCTATAGGGCAGCTGGGTGGTTCACTTGGTAGAACATGTGACACTTGATCTCAGGGTCATGAGTTTGAGCCCCATTGTTTTAAATGTTTATTTATTTTTGAGAGAGAGACAGAACACAAGTGGGGAAGGAGCAGAGAGAGAAGGAAACACAGAATCCAAAGCAAGCTCCAGGCTCTGAGCTGTCAGCACAGAGCCTGATACGGGGCTTAAACCCAGAAACCACAAGATATGACCTCAGCTGAAGTCGGGAACTTAACTCACTGAGCCACCCAGGTACCCCTCAAGCCTCAGGTTAAGCGTAGGGTTTACTTAAAAAAAATAGCCAACTATTGTTTTTCATAGTAAGTAATAAGAGAAACCAAATCCTCTGGTAATCCCCAAATTTAAACTAGTAATTTGGGGGTTTTTTTCATGTTCAATAATTATTTTGGATGGTTTGAAATTTTTAAATAAATTGTTGTATATATGATCTGTGAAATTGGCTGTAATAAGCCCATTTTATTTACAGTCAACTAGAGATCTCAAACTTAGCATGTCCATAACTGGAGAACTGTTCTTCTCTCCAGAAATTGCTTTGCCTGATTTGTCCCTTGATGACAATTCCATCCTTCCAGTGGTTCAGGCCAAAGGTCTCCAGAGTCATCCTTGACTCCTCTCTCTCTCTCTCTCTCATACCTCACATTTATTCTTTCGGGAAGTCTACTTTCATTTTTTTAAGTTTATTTTGAGAGAGAGAGCACGAGCAAGGGAGGGGCAGAAAGAGAGAAGGAGAGAAGAATGCAAAGCAGGCTCCACACTCAGCACGGAGCCCCACACAGCGCTTGACTACTGTGAGATCATGACCTAAGCCGATATTAAGAGTCCAGTGCTTAACTGCCTGAGCCACCCAGGTGTCCCAGGAAATCTACTTTTAAACCATACCTGGAAACCAGCTGTTCCCCACTGCTTTCTTCTAAGTACCCTTGGCTCTTGCCTGAATTGCCGCAGTACTCTCCTGACCCTTCACCCTGCTTCTGCACTGTTTTCCCTGCATTCTCAACATCGCAGCTGGAGTGATACAGTAAGATAGAAGTTTTGTCATGGTACTCGTCTTCACAGAAGCCTGTGGTGACTTCTCATTTCACCCAGAGTCACTATCCCTACAGTGTTCAACCAAGTTTTCTACATTATCAGGCCCTCCTTCTGACCTCAGTACCTACTCTTGCCTGTTTGCTGCTTTGGCTTCAGTGACATTGGCTTCCATTTTCTCTAGCTTGTTCTCTACTTGATGGCATGCTCTTCCCAAAATAACTCCCTCAGTTTCTTTAAGACTTTTTCAAATCTGCACTTCTCAAAGAGATCCCCTTTGAGAGGCAGGCGTCTAGGTGGCTCAGTCAGTTAAGTGTCCGACTTCGGCTCAGGTCATGATCTCACACACAGTTTGTGGGTTCGAGCCCCGTGTCAGGCTCTGTGCTGACAGCTCAGAGCCTGGAGCCTGTTTCAGGTTCTGTGTCTCCCTCTCTTTCTGACTCTCCCCTCCTCACGCTGTCTTTCTCTCTCAGAAATAAAAACATTAAAGGAAATTAAAAAAAAAAAAAAAAAGACCCCCTTTGAATCCCCTACTTAATACTGCAATCTGTACTTCCTGCTGTACTCCAGATCCCTTTAATCTTGTTCTTTTATGAGCGCTTCCCCTTTTTTCTTAGCTCTCGCCACCTTCTCTATATGGTTTACCTTTAGACGTTTTTGTTTCATTTCTTTTGCTCATTGATAAGATCAAGTAGAAAGAATTTAATAGGTATTTAGTAATACTGAATAGATGAAAAAATTTTTAAAAATTTGATTTCCATATAGATAGATATGTAAGAATTGCTGTAGGAATTATATTTTGGAAATGTCAAGTTCCTAATGGTTCTGTAAATTTATACTCCCTCTCAGAACGTGTGAGGTTTCATATTGTTTGATTTCCTCACTGACAGTTGGTATTGTCACATTTAAATTTTTTGGTTAACTTGATGGTGCTGAAGTAGAATCATATTTTAAATTTAGTTTTCATTTCCCTAATTATTAGTGAGGTTGAACACTGTTTTTCTTACTTATATTCCTTGGGCTATGGCAGGAGAAGTATTAAGTTGAGTTTCAAGCATATTCAACTGGAGGTGCTGATAGAACAGTTAGGAAATGTCCAGAGAGCATTTGGAAATAGGGTAAAAGAAAGATCAGAAATGATGAGAGGGGATGGGGGAGGGGAAGACAAGAGTCATTTTGACTCATCAGTTACATTTTTTTTTTTTGACCAAAGTACACATTATTTCCCCCTAAGTCAGTGTTTCTGATGCTTTAGCCATTCATGCATTATCTTGAGATTTTTGTCATATGCATGTAACATTTGTACTCTTTTATTTAAAATGTGCACATGTACTTTATTTTCCATTTGGGTTGTCTCCCTTTGCTGAGATAGATGCCTCCTCTGTGCTTTAAAATAACCCAATGCCCACCTTGGGTTACATCACTGAACTGTCCCCTCACTAGACTATGAACTCCTTGATGACATTAATTTGTTCTTCATGTATTCCACAAATTTGCCAAGCACTGTGAACGTGGTTACTGCAAATATGTTTGTGATCAAAATAAACTTGTTTCTTACCATCACAGAACTCCAACCTTGTGAAAGAGAAAGCTTTCTGTCTCTAATATACTTAACTTTGATTTCTGGTTTATATAACACTATTTGACTACTGAATCATTATAATTTATTATAAACACTTTGGAGAAAAAGTACACAATCCTATGAAACAGTTTAAGAGATAGGCAGAGTTGAGATGGAAAAATGCCTGGTATGTATACCTGATATGTATCATCTTATTTGAGTTTTCTAAGCATCTAACAGTGTCTGATATGTAATAAATAACTAATGTTCACTGAGTAAACTAAATGGATGAATCACAAGAATTTTATAACAACTTTTATATAACAGTTTTTATAGAATTATAAAGAACATATTCACTTCCTTTTTTGAATATTCTAATTAGGAATGTTGAAATTATTCTATTAAAACTGCTTTTTAGTGGGCTCTTGTCCTAGTTTGCTATTTTGGCATATATTCTACATGGGAAATTTTTCCTTAAAATTGACAAATGTCACACTTATGTAAGTCCCTTCTTTATCAATGGATACTGTTTTTAACCATTCCCACTGAGCAGATCTTGGAAAATAATACTATTTCCATAACAAAGAAGCAGGCCAATTTCTTTTAATCAGGATTTTCTTTCCTCAAAACGGACTAAGGTGAATTGTTTTACCTCTAGTTCATTTTGATATGTTTTTTTTCTTCTCTGAAAGAATTGATAACTGGCATAGAAATGATGACATCTGGGCCAGTGAGCATCAGGCAGCTGTCAGCTAGCCGAGTTTATAGAAGAAATGAGATGACTAAAAACCAGGGTGACCAGCTCTGGGAAAATGGGGCATGTAATTAGGAGATATGATTCCCCACCCTCCCTCCAGAAGCTAGAAGAACAGTTTAAAAAAAAAAAAAGAAAAGGGATGATTTTATTTAATTTGTTAGAACCAGCTATAGAAAAATACATAATGTTCTATAATCCTTTACCCAGAATGTTAATCTAAGAGGTAAAATATATTGATTTTCAAAACTGAAGTAATTCTTATAGTGATAAAGCACTTACGGTATATTATATTTTCTCATCTACAGAATTTCTCATCTGTTAGAGAAATTCTGTGGATTTTAATATTTCAGGAAATTACCTGTTAACTGAGGGGAGGGCTTACTAGTAAGCAAAGAATCTGTGGTGTATTAATGCAAGCCAACAATTAACATAGCAGACAGTACTAGTAGAATTCTTATCACCCCCTTTTGCTGGATGTATAATGAGGAGCAGTGCTAGAGGTGGACAGAACTAGAGACTGGGTACCAGTCATAAAATTTGATCAGCCTTATTCCTCCAGGCCAATCACTTAACCACTCTGAGCCTTCATAGATATAAGAGGTGAATAATGCTACCTACCTTAGAGGACTGTGGTATGAAAGATTTCCTCTAAGAACAAATGAGATCAGGTGTTTTTGTTAAATGGGAAGGTGCTACAGTAATTACTGTTGTTTGATGTTGTTTTGCTGGCCTTTGTGTCTAATTTACTAGCTTTGGATTCTGGTATATTACTTATCACTCTGTTGTTGGAAAATCTGTTTTGTAGCAAGCAGTGTATCCCTAGGAATTAGTTTAAAGCTTAGTACTTTTCTCTGTTTAGATAAATATAGGCTATGTTATCTCTAATAGACTTGGGAGGGTCATAGCAATATGTAGATCCTTAGATGTTTAATAAAGCCATATTTAAAATGATCTAAAATTAAAAGAACCACTTGAATCTTGGAGATGGGATTTCCACAGGACACAGCGAATGTCTAAGATAGATGGAAGTCTGTTGATTAAGATTCAGTACAGATTTGACAGACCGCTTTACAGAAGTTCGATAATGCTGAAGATTTTTTGCACCCAGGATATGAGAATATCTTTGTTGTGGAATGCATCTTACTGAAATATTGAATTATTTTTATTTTTTGTCTACAGTGCCTCCAAAGCCATTACATCTGCAGAATCCACCTTTGTCCAATATATACCAAACTCCCAGGCATAAAGCTTTATCTACTGCAAAACCAAGGATGGAGGAAGTTAAACCTGCCTCTGCTTCTTGTGTCTCAAAAGAAAAACCCAGCAAGGTGTCCGATCTCATCAGTCGCTTTGAAGGAGGCAGGTAAGAGCTAATACACAACGGGAGAAGGGACGAGAGGAGAGCTGTTTGTTTTTAAGATGATCGAGTAATAGATTCTTTATTTCAAAAATGTTTATTCTACTAGGTTTGGTAGGCTTTTGGAAAGAGTAAATTTTTAAAATATGTAACCTTGCCCCAACATGAATTGTCATTTTCTGTATGTTACCTGTGTGTAGCACTCTGTGCCAGCAGCTTGTTTATCACTGCTGAGAATGATTGTGTGCTGTATAGATCAGTAGATATGCGCTCTTATTTCCTTTTGTCTGCCTGTGTCACTCTGCATTACTCCATGGCGTCATTCTCTTGGTAGCTGGATGTCTGGGTTGGAAAAGCAGGGGGTTGTCTCTGTCTCTTTGTTTCTCACTTTGTATGTTTGTGAATGTAATTTTTGCCGGCCTGTGCCATCTCTGTGGCCTTCTTTCTGACCCACTTAATTTAACAGAAGTCTTCAGTACCCATTCAGTCTCAGGTCCCCTCTCCTCCCTCCTTTGTGACAAGGAGCTATTACCAGGAGCAAAATGCATGCTCGCTTTCAGTTTTGCATTTATTAGATATAATTTTATATTCTTTAATCCTAACGTTTCAAAAAAAGTAGGTGAAAAGTGTATTTCTCACTTAAAGATAAAAATAAACTCATATATGGCCTCAGTTACTTTTTCTTAGAATGCCCATCACTGATGTAAATAGAATTTTTAAAAAATAATTTTTAGCAGAAGGATTTTATCTGTCACCAAAAGTCTATATTTAATTAAACAATGTATATAACCTCTCTTTCATCCTTGAAGCCAAATATCTCCATTTATTCCAGTGTAATATTTGAGAATGGCTTCCCACTGGGTGATTTCATGATTTATTTGCAGGATTTATTGTTATTTATATAGTGGGTCACAGCTTGGAAATACTTCAAAAATCTTCTGAAAATTGTGACCAAGTAAAAAACTGCAATGTCTCTTGTTTAAAATACAAGGGCGCCTGAGTGGCTCAGTCGGTTAAGTGTCTGACTACAACTCAGGTCATAATCTCATGGTTTCTGGGTTTGAGCCCCGTGCCGGGCTCTGTGCTGACAGCTCAGCTTTGGATTCTGTGTCTCCCTCTCTCTCTGCCCCTCCCCCAATTCGTGCTCTGTCTCTTTCTCTGAAAAATGAATAATCATTAAAACTAAAATAAAATGAGACTATATTTAGTAACAAGTTCTTGACAAAAGTAGTCCAGAAGCCTGTCTTCATTTTTCATTCCCAATCAATTGTGGGAACTTGAGTCATAAACACTAAAACTTCAATATCTTTCCTTCTGAAGTAGGAATTTTAACACCTTTGCTATCTTAAATTACAGTAATCTTTATGAGAATGATTTTGAAAAGAACAATTTAAATTTTTTTCTCAGGGCAAGTTGATTCTGTAGCACAGAGAATGACCCTTCATGTGTGCGGATCCCCAGGGCCATATCCAGTGACTGCATAATATCAGGAAATATCAGGAAGGGCTGGAGCCCAGACCCCTGTCCATAGTACATACCAGACTTGGGAATAGCTTTAGGAAGCCCTGAGTGGATCAGTATTAAAAGGTTGAACCTTCTGATTCTCACCATTTTGCAGTCCTGCCCAAACACAAAGTGGACATAGTTTTTCCACTTGTTAATACCAGTTTTCTTGGACTCTTTCAAACTTCACAGACTCAAAGCCACTTTTTGATGCAACATTTAAAGGTTGTGTCTAAAGAGAGATGTATTGTGGCTTAGGAGATTTTAAGCAAAGTCACTCTATGTGTAGATAGAATATAACGTGAGCATCTTGGCGAATCTGGTGAAGGGGTGTTACTTGTGGCGGAGTCTACTGCCAATATGAAAAATCATCGTCTGTGCTTAGTGAGGTATTACTAGTAGGAACTGGCCCTAAAAGTGTGTGAATGGGTTAGCGTTGCATTGAGTCTATAGGACTTGAGTGGAAGTTGTATTTCCTGTTGAATGATACCCATGTGCCTACGATGTGTGTAGCTCTCAGGTTTTACCCTGATTATTACAACTGACTAGCATTTTGTGGAATAGAGATTCAGCAAGCCGAGTTACCACAGTAAACTGACAGGAAGAGGAGTGGGATCATAAACCACCAACTATTAGACCACCCTATTTAGACTTTACCTAGGGAGCTGTCTGGGTGGCTCAGTCGGTTAAGCTTTGACTTTGGCTCAGGTCATGATCTCACGGTTTGTGAGTTTGAGGCCCTCATAGGATTCTGTGCTGACAGCTCAGAGCCTGGAGCCTGCTTCAGATTCTGTGTCTCCCCTCTCTCTGCTTCTCTCTCTCTCTCTCTCTCTCTAAAATAAATAAACATTAAAAAATTTAAAAAAAGACTTTACCTAGGAATCAGATTTTTGCTCTTTGCAGTAATGCTAGTATATATTAAGATGAGTGATTTGGAGGATGTTAATGGAGCACATAAATTTTACTTATTTATGTATTAAGTTTTTTGGTTTTTTTAGTATAAGATAAACTAGTATTTTTAACTTATGAAAGATTTCAAGATTATGGGGCACCTGGGTGGCTCAGCCGGTTGAGTGTCCGACTTCCCTCAGGTCATGATCTCACAGTTCATGGGTTCGAGCCCCACGTCGGGCTCTGTGCTGACAGCTCAGAGCCTGGAGCCTGTTTCAGATTCTGTATCTCCCTCTCTCTCTGCCCCTCCCCTGTTCATGCTGTCTCTCTCTCTCTCTCTCTCTCTCTCTCTCTGAGAAATAAATAAAACATTAAAAAATTTATAAAAAAAAAAAAAAGAAAGATTTCAGGATTATAGAAAGAAATAACATTTTCCTTGAAACTGAACACTGGTTTTTGCTAAGGCACTTCAAGGCCCGACTGTTTTTTCTGCATGGTCTGGTGTCCACAAACCCAGCAGGAATATATGTATTGGCTCAATCACTGCTTTTACTTACTTCTCATCACCTTATCCCTATCCTACCTCTACCTGCGTATCTCCTGGATGTCACTTATTACAGGAAGTTCTTATCTTTCATCCCTAACTCTTCTTTCCAAAAATTCTAAGTATGCCTAAAGTTTGGTAGAGAGGATCTGCAGAGAATCCTTCTCTTGGGTTTCTGGACACTGATGTGGGCAGAAAAAAGAAGACTGTACCATTCAAATCTTCAAGGGCTGCTTGAGAAATTGTCTAGGCCAAGGTATACTCTCCCAGAAGGCAAATATTAATGGTGGATTATGTGATATTTATTTATATTGACAACCACCAAGTTTATATATGTGACATTTTCCCCTGACAGAGTTTTCCATCCCTTCCTGTGGTGCTGTGCTTACCCTGTCTTTTCTTCCTCCCTGATTACCTTCTTGCCATCTGTTGTCATTCTCTCTTTCATTCAGTCCAGATCAGCAGGATTCAGAAGGAGTAGAATGAAGGGAGAAGGTAATGCACATCTCAGCACTGTCCGTGGACTGTGCTGCTGTGTCTTCTACCCTATAACTTCTTTTTTTTTTTTTTTACAAATAGTTTATTGTCAAATTAGTTTCCACATAACACCCAGTGCTCACCCCCACAAGTGCCCCTCTCTGTGCCCCACCCCCCTCCCCCCCCACATCCATCAGTCCTCAGTTTTTGTCAGCATTCAAGAGTCTCTCATGGTTTGCTTCTCTCCCTTTCCCCGACCATTTTCCCCCTTCTTCTCCCCCTTGTTCCTCAGTTAAGTTCCTCCTAATCCTCCTATACGTGCAAACATATGATATTTGTCCTTCTCTGCCTGACTTATTTCTCTCAGCATAACACCCTCAAGGTCCATCCATGTTGCTACACATGGCCAGATTTCATTGATTCTCATTGCCATGTAGTATTCCATGGTATAAATAAACCACATCTTCTTGATCCATTCATCAGTAGATGGACACTTAGGCTCTTTCCATGTTTTGGCTATTGTGGAGAGTGCTGCTATGAACATTGGGGTACATGTGCTCCTATGCCTCAGCATTTCTGTATCCCTTGGGTAAATTCCTAGCAGTGCTATTGCTGGGTCATAGGGGAGTTCTAGTGTTAGTTTCCTGAGGAACCTCCACACTGTTTTCCAGATACCCTATAACTTCTATCTGCACTGGGGAAGAGGCCAACTCTGGACTTTATCCCATGTTGTGTATGCAGCCTGCTCACCTACCTGCTTCTCACTCCATCCCTCATGTTCTAGTGTGTTACAATGTGGGGTTAATACCATGGAATTTAGAGTTAGACTTCATGGTTCGGACTCTAGTTTTAGCATTTCTTAGCCACATGACATCACCATGTTATGTAAGCGTCCAAGCTTTAATTTCTCTATTTTGGGGTCCTGTTTTCAATTATTTTGAGTCACAGTAAATAATGTAAAGAACACATGTACTCTCCGGCACTTAATAAACGTTAGCTGCTGTTATGAATTACTGCCGTGATCACCATCACTATCACAGTTGCTCTTGCTGATTACTGAGCACTTTCCTATGTCCAGCACTGTTCTAAGTGGTGGGGGTAAAGCAGAGAACAAGAGAGGCATGTTCTGCGCCCTCACAGACTCTTACTCTGTACTTGTTTTGCCTCCTTATTAGGTCATAGGAATCTCTCCAAGACTGCAACCTAGAGATTTATGTTTTTCCTCCCGGGAATCCTAGATTAAAATGTTATGCAAATATTTCTATAGGGACATTGTAATATATTGACGGTTGGGTTCCATCGTATACTGCTGGAGTTATATATAATATGAAGTGATAACAAGGGCTTAACAGAAAAGGAGAAGGAAGTGTGTAGTTGTTGGTAGAGCGTGCTATAATAAATAATCCAGGAGGGGTGACATCTGAGCAGAATCCTGAATGAGGGGAAGGAGTCAGCCACACCAGTGTCTTGGCGAAGGTCATCTGGGCAGCTGCAGAGACCCTTGGATGCACACACTGGCTTGCTGGGGTGTGGGGGCAGCTAGGAGGCAGGCATAGCAGGAGGAGAGGAGGGGAATGGAGCTGAACGAGGCTAGCGGGGGCCGTGCGTACACAGTCCTGGGCCGGGGTCAGGACGCCAGACTCACCTGGAAGTGTACAGGGTGCCCTCAGAGAGTTCAACTCCGTGGTTGACCAGAAGAGACTGGCTTCCAGGGGATGGAAAGAGGATGCAGAGAGACCAGTTAGATTTTGGCAGCGTGAATGACAAAGTTTCTGAGAATTTGTGTTCTGCTTTCTAAACAAAAGTAACCTTTGTTTACAACCTGTTCATAAATTGAGGGGCTGTCTTACTTGTTTTTAAAATGGTATGAAAGTGAAAATCTTGGGGAAAGATGGCTTTATTAACTATAAATGTTTCTCACATCTCTGTCCTTACAAATGAGCCACACTGATAAACAGCCTAAGAAAATGTTCCAGATCCATAGCATGTTCCATTAGCATTTATCGCTAATGCTCAGTCTTATCATCTTTATTGGAATGTTTATTTAAGGGTGGGTAGCATCCCAAGAGACTGAGAACTATACCGGACTATTCTAATCCGTGTTTCTAAAACCATCAGAGGAGAGTCTTCACTAAATACCTCCTTTCTGCTGGAATAAGCTGGTCTGTCTTCTAGAACTTTTCCATGCCAGTGTTTTCACTCTTCTTTCGTATTTTATTTTCTAGCACATTATCAAATTACAGTGATTTGAAGAAAGATTCTGCTGTGCACCTGAATTCTCCTAGAACCCCAGGAAGGCATCGACTGACAACCACCCCTCAGCAAAAGCTCCTCTCCCAGCACCCACCGCAGAAGCAGGGAAATGACACAGATCCAACTCAGGGTGTACAGACCGGTGTGGCTAACGGTGTGATGGCAGCACAAAACCAGATGGAGTGCGAGGATAAAGCGGCCACTCCTAGCCCAGATACTCCTGTTCAAACTTCAGAACCCTTGCTTGCCATGAACTTAGTGAATGGAGAAGGAAAGGAGGAAACCACCACAGACCCCGCATCACCCACAGCAAATGACTATGATGGAAATGCGTCTGACAGTAGCTGCAGGACCTCCGTCGCCAGCCAAGTGCTCCCCCTGGAAGAAGGAAGCACAGATGCGGAAGCCAGGGTACAAGAGCGGGAAGATGGAGAAAGCCCTCTGGAACAGGAACGGCTGGACCAGCACCAGGAGACGAAGGTAAAGCATGAGACTGGCTCATAAGTAGGAGGAAGCACCAACTGCTCCACTACTGTCTTAAACTCCACTCAGCAGCACTCGCGAAACGAATGAGTCAGATCGCCCACGCTACCAGCTAAACAGTTTATGTTTCCTCTACTCTATGAGAAAATACTTCACTTTTTCTTGCATAGTTTCTGTTGATCTTTCTCTTGTGATTTCAAGAGTCGAAACATTCTGAAGACTTTAATTTAGGAAAACCACGAGCTTATTGTTTTTACTTACATAGGAAGAAAATGTTCTTTGTCGCTCTAGATATTAGGACCGCATCCCTAATATATTTGTGGCTAAGCAAGAAGAAATTGTATAATCTTTGCTTTTCAGACATTTCTAGTCTAGACCTGGAAGAGTAACGTGAACTAACAATTATTCTCTTTAAGGACACAAATTTGGGGGTTCCCCGGGTGGCTCAGTCAGTTAAGCGTCCAACTCTTGATTTCAGCTTGGGTTGTGATCTCACAGTTAGTGAGTTTGAGCCCCACATCTAGCCATGTGCTGACAGTGTGGAGCCTGCTTGGGATTCTCTCCCTCTGCCCCTCCCCCACTCATTCTGTCTGTCTCTCTTTTTCAAAGAAAAAAAAAATGTTTAAAAAGGACACAAATATGGAAGTATTCACAAATTATTCAACAGATTATAACCGTAACTCTTTCCAGGCTTCTAATTTAAAAAATTTTTCTAACGAATATGGTTTTAAAACAATTGACTTAATCTTGGATTTAGAAGTCTCTTTAAAGATCACCTTAGTTCAGCAATTCATTTATAGAACCAGAAACTGTTCATGAAATCACTTCCAGAAAGCTGCTGTGATTGTCTAGGGTCACAACAATAGCCTGGACCTCTAGGTGCTCTGACTCTCAGGGTGTACTGTGTCCCTGATGCAAGAAATCACAAACTTAAGTGCCTAAATGCAGGAAATGTCAATGAAAACAGCGTCTGTGAGTACTGTACTAGAGAGAGGTGAGCCTGTGGCAAAATGGAAGTTCACATCCTTTCTAAAGAGGGCTGCAGTTCAGCCAGCTGCTTGCATGGCATTTCTGCCTGTGCGCAAAATCTAAGCCTACAAGGAGCTGATGTGCTGGTGAGATACGTCCATAATTTACCTGTGCTATAGCAGAAGCTTTGATACAGTCCTCAAAACAAGATGATTGCTTTTGCGTTCTTTATTCATGTCAATATAGTGCTTTGAGGAGATTAATAAATATAACTTTTACAGAGTACTTGGAATTTCTCAGATCAAAGGTGCAGTATAAGCATCATCATCATACAGTTCCCTGGAATAGAACAGAATAGGAAGTTGTTTATGTCCCTGAGAACAAAAAAAAAAGTTCCCATCGCTCAGTCTGTCTTTTTAATTATAAATAACAATCTGTGTAGGACAGTTGAGAATTGGAAATTTGACAATTATAGGAAAATCTGTAATGACAAACCCAAGTCCTAAATCTTATATTTCGGATTTTTTTTTTAAGTTTATTTATTTTAGGGCACCTGGGTGGCTCCGTAGGGTAAGTGTCTGACTTCAGCTCAGGTTATGATCTCATGGTCCATGATTTCGAGCTCTGTGTCTGGCTCTTTGTTAACAGCTCGGAGCCTGGAACCTTTTCAGATTCTGTGTCTCCCTCTCTCTGCCCCTCCCCCACTCACACTCTGTCTCTTCTCAAAAATAAACTTAAAAGTTTTTTTAATGTTTATTTATTTTTGAGAGAGAAAGAGTGCATACTCAAGCATGGGGAGAAGCAGAGAGGGGGGGGGAGAGAGAATCCCAAACAGGCTCCACAGTGTCAGCACAGAGCCCAACATGGGACTTGAACCTACTAACTGCGAGATCATGACCTGAGCCAAAATCCAGAGCTGGACACTCGCCTGACTGAGCCACCCAGGGACCCCTCTAATTAGAATTTTTTATGGTGCTGTGCCTTAAGTGGCATTAACATAGGCAGAAATTCAAAAGGACTGCTAGTAAAATATCAGAGTAAAAAGTGATTGATGTTTTTAAAACTTTAACTAAAATGAAATCCACATATGGTACAGTTTTCACTGACCCTGAAAAAGATCCCAAATTGACAAAAAGCCAGTGGCTTATTTTCTTCCAGTTAGTGAATTAATTTTAAATGCTGACTCTTTAAGCAGGGAAAGTTTAAATAAGGAAGTGGGTGGGAGAAAAGTGAGTCATACTTGGTAACATTATCTGAAACATTAAAGAAACAGGACATTGCAAAGTGAATCTCTTCACTATATCTTGATGTGGTGGTAGGTTTTAGCGTCTCTGCTTGAACCATGGTGAACAGAAGAGAAGGGTAGAATCAAGAACTCAAGACTCCTACATTAGTCTTTTTATAGTTGGAATGATGCCACCAGCAAGTATTTATAAAACAGTAAGAACTTTTCTTATTAATGCTTTAATTGGTAATGCTTGTGGTTGCTGGGTACTACTTGTTTTCCTGTTCTATATTATTATCGGTACATTCTCACTGATGAGTGTTATTTGGTTTGGGAGAGACTTAATAGGACTTTCTTATTAAACTAGCAAAATGAAATAGTATAGCTGGCCTTTCTCCTAAGTGGGAATGTAAGGAGTAGATGGCACATGCTGTGTGTGGGAGGAAAAGGACATTTTCTCCACAGAGCTGTTGCTACAAACACTACATGTGTCTCTCTTCTAAAGGGCAGTATTAGGATTTAATATATACGTGGTGATAATATGTTCTCCTCTGCTACCTTGGTGTCTGTTACACTGCATTGGTTCAAATATGCAGATGTAAATGTTAGTAATGCTAGGGTGATAAATTTTATGTTATATATATATTGCCAACATTAAAAACAAAGAAATGTTAAAAAAAAAAAAAAATAACAGTATATAGTGGAATCATTGGAACCTGATCTTGATGCTTCTTCTGACTTGTCCACTAACTAGTGATATGACCTCAAACAAATCAATTAAATTATTTGTGCCTTTAATTAAAGGATATAAACTGAATATGATCTTAAGGTCCTTTTCAGTGATAATGTAATAATAATTCTGTGCTGTCTTAATAGGTATATTTCTTTGTTAACATAGCCCCCCATATTGTCAGTTGCTTCTTGAACTGTCTAGTATGTTGTACCTCTAAAATACAATGGAATATTTTGAATTTTGCTCTGCAGACAACTGAAAAAAACTACTTCAATCTTTATATAACTCAGTGTAGAGGCCTACATCAGAATAGTCTTTAAATAAGTTTCATTTGAACCAGTATTAAATTTTTTTAATGTTTATTATTTATTTTTGAGAGAAAGAGGCAGAGCATGAGCCAGGAAGGGCCAGAGAGAGATGGAGATACAGAATCTGAAGCAGGCTCCAGGCTCCCAGCTGTCAGCACAGAGCCCGAAGCAGAGCTTGAACCTACAAACTGTGAGATCATGACCTGAGCCAAAGTTGGATGCTTAACTGATTTGAGCCATCCAGGTGTCCCCACATTAAAATAGATCTTGAACAGTCATTATTAATAATGAGAACTGACCTGAAAGTTGTCTCAGCTTGTGTAACTTTCACTGATATCTAATGTATTGTGATCAAGAATCATCACTTCAGTGGTGGGGCGCCTGGGTGGCTCAGTCAGTTAAGCGTCCAGCTTCGGCTCAGGTCATGATCTCACTATTCGTGGGTTCGAGCCCCATGTTGGGCTCTGTGCTGACAGCTAGCTCAGAGCCTGGAGCCTGCTTCAGATTCTGTGTCTCCCTTTCTCACTGACCCTCCCCTGCTCACATGGTCTGTCTCTCTCTCTCTCAGAAATAAATAAAACATTAAAAATTTTTTTAAAAAAAAGAATCACTTCACTGGTGAACAGAATACTGTTAAGTTTATCACGTAAAAGATAAACTGTTGAAACACATTGAAACTATTGTCCCTACCATACTTTAGCTATACGTTTCCAATATTTAAGCTTTTTGCAGCATCAGTGATCTAGAATATAGCCAGGCACCTCAAAGTAAGCAGTTTTTTTTTAAATCTCTGAACTAAAGGAAAATTGTGAGTACTTTGTGACACCTTTAGCTCTTACCCACAAGGTGTTATTGGTATCTTTAAATTAAAGTTAGATATTTATTACAAGAGATTAGAAAACTGAAATCTACTAAAGGGAGATGTTATAAGGAAACCTTAAAACCTGTATGTGAGAGGGAAGGTAGGAGCAAGAGAATGTCACATGTACCTGTGCAGGCATGCATACCTGTGGGGCGGGGGTGGGGGGGTGGACAGTATTATAATAGTATGATGAATTTGGGTTATCAAAAGTAGCTTAAACTATATTAAGAGATTCAGGTAAATAGGTCAGTACATTTTAGAATGAATTTCATTTTAAAAATGGTTATATTTTTCCTCAAATCTGTGTGCTTCAGTAGGTAAGCTTCATGAGAAATGCACTAATGTAGAATGCAGTCATTGATTATGCCACATAATAAACACTTCTTTTTATAGTTTTCATGAGCCTGTTAGTATCCAAGATGTACTGTAACAGGTTGTATTCATAGAGCTTTCTGAGATTTATTCAGTGTTTCCTTCCTCTATATTTTGTATTTTAAGCCAAATGTAAACACCTAGATGTGCCCTTTTAAAGACTAAAGTTGATAGAAATTATGTACCTATTGGCAACATAAATTCCAAGAAGCAGTGTATTTAAATCTCGTAATTGCTTTATCAAGAATCTTACAGAAACATTTTAAGTTAATCCTTCATTTCATCAAAAATGAAAGAAATTATATAATAAAGTGAGGAATTAATGAAGATAGAGATTTGATAGAATTGATAGAGATTTATAGAAACATTGTTTTAAAAACCTTAAATGTTTTTTTCTAGTTATTTGTTTTTTAATTACCATTTTACTTATATTTTAACATAAGCCTTGAGAGTTTATAACCTTTGAACATACACAAAAATTAAGAAGATATGGGTACTTGAGTGGCTCAGACAGTTGAGTTCCAACTC